GTTTTTGGTTTTTTTTTTTGGTCTTTTTGAGACAGGTTTCCCTATAGTCCTAGCTGGCCTGGAACTCACTATGTAGACCAGACTGGCCTTGAACTCACAGAGATCCGCCCGTCTCTGTCTCCAGAGTGCTGGGACTAAGAGCCTAGGACACAGACAGGAAAGCATGCGTAGTATCCAGGCTGCCTGTGACCTCCAGGAAAAGGGCCTCTAAAGGTGTGTGCCACCTCACCCAGCTTTAATATTGATTTTTAAAAAATATTTTATTATTTTTAGCTGCCATGTGGGTGCTCGGATTTGAACCCAGGTCTTCTGCAAGAGCAGTCAGTGCTCTTAACTGCTGAGCCATCTCTCCAGCCCCTAATATTGATTTAAAAAAATATTTTAATATTTTTATTTTATATGTATACACCTGGAACTGGAGTTAAGGACGGTTCATAGCTGCCATGTGGGTGCTGCGAATCGAACGCCCCCCACCCCCACCCCTTTTTTTTTATTTTTTATGTGTATGTATGTACTTCTTGCATGTAGGTAAGGGCACCCATGTTGTGCAATGCCTGTGGAGGACAGAAGAAACTGTCAGATCCCCTGGAACTGGAGTTACGGACAGTTGTTAGCTGCCATGTGGGTGCTGGGATTCGAACCCGGGTCTTCTGCAAGAACAGTGTCCTTAACTGCTGAGACATCTCTCCAGCCCCTAATAATTGATTTTTAATACCTAAATTTTTAATACTGTTTCCCAAAACGCAGTATGAGATGCTTGCTCATCTCACCAGGACAACTAGTCACTTCCTCTTATTCCTCCTGTAACAATGACATTGGTCTTTCAGTTCCTCTGCTGACCCGTGCTGCTTCCTCCCTCAGTCTCTTTGCATGTACTGTTTCCTCTATGTGTTTCTCATCCTCCCTCAATTACTCTCTCCACCCTCCGGAGACAGGATCTCGTGTAACCCAGACTGGCCTCAATATGTAGTAAAGGCTGGCCTTGAATTTCCCCTGCCTCCACCTCCTAAGTGCTGAGATTACAGCTGTGTGCCACCACACCTGGCCTCCTCAGTTTCTACTCGGCTCAGGGTCACTTTCCAGAGAATGCCTTCCTGTTTTGCATTCTAAGTCAAAGAATACTGTAATTTTCCTTCATACTGTTCATCACAATTGAGAGAAATGATTGCTAAACTGGGAATTTAGCATTTGCATCTCATGTTATACTCTAAACTCTGAGGGCAGAGACACGTCTGGTTTGTGCTGTATCCCTGGCACAGAGCACGGATGGTGTATAATGTAGAAAGTCAGGGCTCACTGCATCCTCTCTAGCCTTCCTTTCCCAACTCTCTTTCAAATGGATCAAAGGCAAACATTTCTATTCCCTCTGCAAACTTCACATCCTTTCATCATTTACATATCTAATATTCTGAGTATCATTTCTCCGTCAGTGTTTTTGGTCACAGGTGATGAGTTCCGAGGGAGGGGTACAGACCACAAATTATTTTTTTTAATGGTGCTAGAGTTGGAACTTGCTTGGCAAGTTCTCTGCCACTGAGCTACATCTCTAGCCCTTGTGTTATTTATTATTTATTTATTTATTTATTTGAGAGAGTCTCACTATGTAATCCAGCTATTGAGTTCTTTATCCTCCAGCCTCTACCTCCCAAGTGCTGGGATTACAGGTGTGGGTCACCATGCCCAGAAGGACCACAAATTTTAAATTATGTAGTACAGCACACATTAGTCTTTGTGGTGAAAAGATAGTATTGTGGATGGAGTAAGCAAGATATCCACTTACTAATGGCCTTATTTTATATTTTATTATTTTTATGTGAATGAATTTATTGCCTGCCTGTATGTGAGTGCACCTGTGTCATGCAATGCATGGCAGAGGAAGTCTGAAGAGGGCCCCAGATTCCCTGGAACTGGAGGTAGGGATGGTTGTTAGATGCCATGTGGATGCTGGGAATTGAATCCAGGTCCTCTGCAACAGCAGTCAGTGTTCTTGACTAAAAAAAAGCCCCTTGGGTTTTTTTGTTTGTTTGTTTGTTTTTTGATAGCATCTTGCTAGGTAGCCCTGGTTAGCCAGTAACTCAATATATAGACACAAGAGTGGCCTTGAACTTGAGGGCCCTTCTGCCTCTGCATTGCTGTGTGCTGGGATTACAGGTATGCACTGTCATGCCTGGTTATAATGGCCTTTTTTTTTTTTTTTTAATAGCTGTTTAAATCTCTTTTGTTAATATTTAGGGACAGTGAGAGGTTAACAAGTTTGGGTTGTGTGGTAAGAGCTGGATTTGGACTCTATTATTTAATAGAGTGGCTATGGGCAAGTCACTTTCCTCTCTGGTCTCCAAATCCCTCAACTATATGTTGAGAATATAATAATGGTACCTTTTCGTTCAGGTTGTGGGAAGGATTCAGTAAGATAATACTTAAAAAGCACTAACAGGGCTTGGTTTCAGGAAATGCTTAATGTCAGCTACTACGTTCACCTGTGGTAAAAGAAAAAGGTGACCCATTTCTCATTTGGTATTGGAAGAAATTTAGTGATGTTTGTGATGCTGTGATGTTCTCTGTGGGAAGTTAAGGTTGGAATACTTAAAACAATCATCTCCCTCAATCCTTTTCTTTACCCGAGGTCTTGGAACTGAAGCCAGTGGGGGAAAGGAAACAGAAGTGGCTGCAGCTGTGCTCTAATTGGTTTCAAATGACGGCAGCCGCCTGCACTCTCCCCTCGCAGGTCTGTGTTCCTGTGGTTTAACAACCATCATCAGGTACCATCATCCGGAGGAGGAGGAAAGCCTAGGGAGGGCGACCGGATCAGCTTCTTGACACCTAGTAATTTGCAAACTCAGCCTCTTTTGGAATTCACTGGACTCTTTGTTCTCCTTTTCACTTCATTGGCAGCTCCTAGGTGATCAGAACCTACCCAGCAGGGCCATTCAAAAGTAACAGAGAGCAAGTCAGAACCGCAACAAGGAGTTTCCTCTGCTACTGGGATCCAGAGGAAAATTTCATAAAAACAACAACAACAACAACAAAACAAAATAGCGGCCGAGCATGGTGGCGCACGCCTTTAATCCCAGCAGAGGCAGGCGGATCTCTGTGAGTTCAAGGCCAGCCTGGTCTACATAGTGAGTTCCAGGACAGCTGGGGCTACAGGGAGACCCTGTCTCAAAAAGACCAAAAAAAAAAAAAGCATATATTATATATACTACATATATGAGATGAAGATACAAAAACATCAATTTATCCTCCTTGAAAACTCAGTGTTCTTGCAAGGCCCCTGTCGTCTTTCCTAAAGGCACACTCTGTTCTCCAACTGAAGGTAGGAAACTAGACCCAAGAGGACTCCTTTTCCTCACCCTGAAAAATCTTGTGGAAGAGCTGCCAAGTCTAGAAATTCCTTTGATCAGAAGATAAAGCAGAACAATGCTGTGGAACTAAATGGATTCCTAAGGGACATTCTTTTAGGGTGTGTAAAACTTGCCTGGAAGTGCAGTGCCTGTGTACACAGGGGGTGGGGTTGGGAGAGAGCTGGGGGCAGAATGGGGTGGTATATATATAAGTTGCTCCGAGATTTCCCAGTAGCTCCGAGACTTCCCAGTAGAATAGCTTGTTGCTTGTTTTGTTTAGTCAGTACTGGAGATTGAACACAGGGCTCACACATGTTGGTAAGGCACACCACCACGTATAGCTCCAGCCCTATTTTAAATTTTTATTTTTCTGAGACCTGTTCTGAACTGCTGGGTTCAAACAATTCTCCTGCCTCACCCTCAGCTTGGACTACTGAAACACATCACATTCTGTTTCTCCTTAGAGAAGAAACTCCACCCAATCTCTAGAGAAGTGCAGGCATGGTTATTAAAACTAAATGATTAGAGGTCAGTCTCCCCCACAAAAAGTGAAGTAAAAGGAAAAAATGTTGGCAGTAAGCTTCTACTTAAAGCTTGCAAGCCAAGTCGAAGTTGTCAATTTCCTATCCCTAGGTTTAAACTAGTTACTGACCTCTTCAATGGAGAATGGGGACTCATGCTAATTCCAGCCTAAGCCCGTCCAGCACATTACACCGAACATTTAGAAAGTGCAGCTCTCCTCTGTTAAGGGCCAATCGGTTGTAAAACACTACTGAAGGGGCTGGAGAAATGGCTCAGCAGTTGAGAGCACTGGCTGTTCTTGCTGAGGACCTGAGTTCAGTTCCCAGCACCCACATGGAGGTTAATAACCGTGCATAACTCCAGTTCCAGGAGATCCCAACGCCCTCTTCTGACACTCCAAGGGCATTGCATGGCACGAGTGCACCCACACACATGCAGGCAATACACTTACACACTTACAATTAAAAAACGCTACCGAACTGGTTGGATGTGCTCGTGTCCCAGCTTCACCACGTGGAGAAGGGAGAATAATTTTCCCATCTGCTTCATATGGGTTTTAGTCGGACAAGGGAGGCTCAACGCTTCCCAAGCACAATCCCACTCACAAGAAAGGTATGATTACTACCGGGCTCCGCCGGGATGTCTGGCGCAGCGCGGTGATTAGCAGGCTGCCTTGCTCACCGCAGCCAGGTGAGGCTGTCGGCGGATACTAGGGCGAGCGAGCTACACCACCTGGCCGCACATTGCAGAGCGCACGTGATGCACAACTAATTGCACAGCCTGCTGCATAGCACCTGCTCCGCGCGCGGCGATTCTGCCCTGGCTGCTCCTTTCCAATGCAAACTAACTTCGGCGCGGCCTAGGGCCGAGATCATTCAGGCCGCCGCAGGCCGGAGGGGCCTCACGCCGGGCTGGAGCTCCCGCATCTTCTCCAGAGGCCCCGGGTCCCGCCGGGGAGACCCTTCCCCCGAGCGAGCTGCACTCTGACAGCCACCAACGCTGTCTCGCGCCAAGCTGGACGCCCCTCGGCCCCGCCCACCACCTCAGGTAGGCCATCCGCGCCAGCCAATCGCAAGGCGCCTGAGAGCGGAGGGCGGGGCTTATCTCTCCGGATGTGACGTCTGTGCTTGGCTGGCCGCGGCGTCGGTGGAAGCGCTCGTCTGCGGCCGGCTGCGCCTCCTGAGAAGGAAAAATATAAGAATGGCTAGCACGGCGGCGGGCGCGACGGCTCGGCTCGCGGTGGACACCGAGGCTCCGGCGGCGTGAGGTGAGTGGCGGCGAGCGCGTGCGGAGCCCGAGGGCGTCGAGGGACGCGGGCCGGGCGCCCGCGGCGGCGCTCCATTTCGGCCCACCGCGCTCCTCCGGGCCTCGTC